GGAGGTTGCTGTGAGTTGTGATGCCCCAGTACTCTACCCAGGGGGGACAGCTTGAGGCTCCTGTCTCAAAAAAAAAAAAAGACATAGTTCTTGGGCCTATATTACTGTAGATACAGGTTAAGTAAAACTTTTAAAAAGCAATAAATACCTAAAAAATAAATTGTGTGATTATTTTACCCAGAATTAAGGGTATACCCCCTAATAACCCAATTTGGTAAATTGGAAAACATGCAGTCTCATATGTGTATAGTATTAAATCCTAAAACTGTGAATTAGACCTTAATTCTGAGAAGAAAATTAGAATGGTTATAAAGATGATTTATGAAAAATTTAAAACAGTGATTATGAAAGTTTAGGAAATTTATAATCACAAATGGAAGGGAAAAAATATCATTTCTTGTTATTAAAGCAATGGCTGGATATCTGTATTTAAGCAGGAGTAGTTCAAACATTTAGGAGCTTTATGAAAATGGAGGTTGATAGGGGATGATGGCTAACTTTTAAGCCTCACCTAACTCTGAGATGTAATAATTCTGTTACTTTTAGAGACTACTTTTGTTTCATTGCTTTACCCCAAAGTTTCAAGGAATTCATTGTTATACTCTTCTAGGAAGGGATAGGAAAAAAATCAAGAGTTTTTCCCATATTAAAGTTTATCTACTCCTGGTTTAGTAAAGAAACGAAAACAAGTTAACAAGAATAGCCAGAACGTTTGTTACACCAGTGTCTATTCTTAACTGTCCTCATCAGGATTTGATGATATCCAAAGAACTTATAATCATTTCAGTTAGTATTTGGTTCAGACACAGTGATTTTCAACTTTCGCCCACCCCATGGGTTGCATGCTGATTTTATGAGGACTTACTTTGCTTATCTGTAGTATGGGTTATCGTGAAATGTATACAAGGATCTTTTTTTTTGCTGATCATTTTTTGTTAGTGTTTGTGAATTTAATGTGTGACCTAAGACAAGTCTTACTTATTTTTCCAATGTGTGGCAGAAAAGATAAAAGATTGGATATCCCTAGTAAAGTTTTCCCTATTATGATAAGCCCGATTAAAATATATTTTATGTTTTAGATATGGTACAAGTTGAATCACAGCCCATTAAAAATCTAATAAAGCCCTAATACCTCACTCAAACTGTAAAACAGATATTACATCCTTATCCCCAACATAAATCATATAAACTCGGACCATTAGTTTTATGAGGTGTCCTAAGCGTAAATATAGTGCTAGGCCTGTAAACTGGTAAATGTATATACCTGTTTGAGTAACTTAGAAAGAAGAGAAATAAGTTGTAGGGGAAAAGAATGATTAATAATAAGTAAAAGAACCAATACTATTTCTTGGAAAGCCATTTCTTTAAAGGAGAAGAAACTAAAAATACATTTTTGTTTTATTTACATTAAACTTGATTCAAGGTGTACTTTGACCTGTCCACTACTACTACCCACCAAAGCAAAATGATGTCTCTCTGACCCTGAGCACCGTGAGGGCAGATGTCACTTCTATTTATATTGGTATCTCCAAAGGCATAACACAGTGTTCTATATGAACATTTTTTGATTTGAATGAAATCCAAAGAAGTATAGGTGATTTTAAATTGAAAACTTTTATTTTTCTTAATTCTTTTCTCCCATAGATAATTTTGCTCATCGAACTAAAGTTCGGCAAGCCTTGGCCAAAGATAAGGAATGGCAAGAACAATTCCTTATTCCAAATTTGGCGCTCATTGACAAACAGGAAAGTGAGATTGCTTATCTGGTACCATGGTGTAAATTAGAAAAGCCTCCAAAAGAAGGTAAGTGCTTCCTTCATAATCATTTTGAGTTTTCATGAATAAAATACTAAAGATCTTAAGCAACAAAAACTAAAGTTCCACTGGAAGAAAATTAATCCTTTGTTTTATATAGAAATATAAAGTAATTATTGAGATAAAAATAAACTGGAGCTCTTAGCTGATCCTTTAAAAAAAAAAAAGAGCTTTAGATAATAAAGTGTTTTTCCAAATTTAGTTCTTAAAAATTTATAAAGCATAGCTGTGTTACAGATAAAGTTGACATAGTAAGGTTGAGAAGTTATGCATTGGGAGCAGGGAACATGTGGGTAAGTAAGGGATAATACATGATATTTTTTCATAATTTTAATTTAATACAAACTTTAAAATATAAAATAATCTTAAATCATTAAGTCCATCTTTTGATTATAAACTTGACTTTTTGGGGAAAACAGATTAACTGAAATTGCCAAGCTGTATTGTTGTGGTCTAACTTTGTGTCTTCCTCTTTCTTACTTCTCAGTTTGAAAATCATTCCTTAAGATTTGTCTTCCTGCTGATTTCACTTCTTCCTGACTTACAGAAACTCTTACCTCAATCCAGTTTTAATCAAAGGTCAGATTAGAAAAGCATAAACTAATTTAAATTTTATTTACCCCATTATCCCCAACTTTGTAGTGTGTTTTAGATTATAGGAAATTTAATAAGTCTTATTTGATCCATTTGGATCCTTGTTCACTAGATCGCCTGTCAGCTCTCAGCAGTATCTAAATAAACTCTTGAACAGTATAAAATCTTGGTTCTTTTCCTCTCTCTTGTTCATGATTCCTGGATAACTTTTGCCTGTTTTTCCTTGACCTCTCAAATTTACTTGTCTGATAGTGTTTTTTTCTCTCCACTGCCTCTATTTTTGTCCAGATACTTAAAGCAAGATATTTAGGCATTTACCTGGATGTTCAGGAAAAATAAAATCATCCCTGTAGGTTTGTTTTGTTTTGTTTTTCCTCTAAAACTCAGAGACATCACTTCAGTCCCATTGTTTGCTTTGCTGTTCCTGCTAGAAATGGAAATTTACGGGGGAAATTATACAAAGAAAATAGTGATGGAAATCAGAAAAAAAGAATGAAAATGTAGATTAGAAAGTTTTTCTTTTATTCATTGCTTTCCTAAAAGTATAGACACACACAGCTCAAAAATCCCACTTCATTATAAATTCTCAATATCAGTTTTAGTGACAAATTATAGATTGAAAATATTTCAGATACTACACTTGTTCTTATCCAAAAGGCTGAGGGCTGGTATTTCAGATAGTAATTTATACGTAGCTTCCAGTCCTTTTTCTTTGTCTTCTGTATGATTAAACTTAACAACTTCACCTTTAAACATGGGTAAGGACTTTTCTAAACATAAAAAAGCAAAGAAAAAGAATGCAAATATCGATATGCTTATATAACACATATACATGTGTTATTCTCCAAATATGTATATATAGATAATCCTACCATTGACAAACACGATTAGAAATTGCTTGAATGCCTTCTGTAAAATACTTGTTTTTTCTCCCTATTCTAGGAGTCTATGAACTGGCTACTTTTCATATGAAACCTGGTGGGCCAGCTCTGTGGGGTGATGCATTTAAAAGGGCAGTTCATACGCATGTTAATTTAGGCTACACAAAACTAATTGGTGTTTTCCACACAGAATATGGAGAGCTCAACAGAGGTATAGTGTTTCCATTTCTTTTATGAAATTGCTATGTATATTGGTAATTTAATAAGTTCCTTGGTTTAGTTTCACTCTCACTACATAACATATAATTTTTTTATTTATTGCCAAATTTTTAGGGTTTTCTGTAGTTTTGAGGGTTGAGAAAACCTGCTTTACTTCTGATTCATTTAGAATATTAACACCTTATGAAGCCCTTTTCAAATACTAAACTTCTCTTTTCCCAATATATCAAAACGATTAAATTTTTAAAACTAAAGGAACTTCAAGATAAAATCTTTTCCTTTCATTCATAATATTTTTTACCCTCAGAATATACTTTCATTGATTTTTTTAAATGCCATGTTTGGGGGTAGGGAGATTATTTCTGAATAAAAGAAGTAATATATATTTCTTATAAATATTAAAGCCCCCTCATAAAAAGTTACCCATTTTGTACTACGTATGTATATAGTGTGTGTGTATATATATATATATATATGGTAAATTTACATATATAAATTTATTTAATAAAACATGTATTTGGGATACTGAACTTTTAAAGTTGAAAGATATTACAATCTGAATTTTAGATTTTTTTGTGGAAAATTCTAAAAAAAATTGTAAAGTTTATCTGAAAGGATAAATGACTAAGACTAGCTAATAAACATTTGGAAGTCTTGTAATACCCAATTGTCCTTTTATTATTTCTACTTTATATCCAGTAGACATGTTAAACCTAATATACCCAAGACTAAGCCTCTGTGGTCTTTATGCAGACATTCAACTTCTAGTAATGTATCATAAGTAAAGAATCAGAATATACAAAAGTGTGTATGTTCAATTTGGAAAGTAAATGGAGAAGAAAAATTAATTATGAAAATGATTACATGCACATTTCACATCATATGCTAAAATAAAACAAAGATGGATTGTAGCTTTCAAAGACAATATATTTTAATTCATAGAATTGCAAAAACAAAAGCTAAATTATTTAGTAATATGTATTGGAACTGGATTTCTAAGCCAAAAAGTAAATGAAGAAATTATAAAGAAAAAAATCAAATGACAACTGTATTATACAAAGGCTGAAACTTTCTGCAAAACCAAAACCTCCATAAATGAAACATAAAAAGAAAACTTTGTAAAATGTAAAAGTAGACACACAGATGACTACTAAATATATTTTAAAGAAGATGCAAGTTAAAACAGTAATGAGATGCCATTTTTTTAATCTAATAAAGACATTATTATGTGAATATAGTATTAGATATAGGCCAGGAAAAAATAAATACTCTTATAATAAATACCCTGTATAGGGTTAATGTTAGGTTAATCTTTCCTCCCAAAATTTGACAATATAAATAAAAAGCCTTAATTATTTTTATCATTTCATTTTTGTCAGTATTATGTCTAGAAAATATACCTGGCTATATATGTGGGTAGGCATGTTATACAGACACAAAATTTGAAAGGATATAAAACGAATCATATTTGAATAAAGAGATTAAAAGTTTTTTAAGTCTCTATCATAACTGAACATACACAACTTTTATATGAAAAAACTACTGAAAATGTGTGAGCATACACTTTTTAATGTCAAAGTCATTCTCAGTATGCTAGGAAAATTGGGAATACGTGGAGTATAAATCAGTACATCATTTCTGTAGGACAGCATAAAATATATGCACTGTATCTTTATAAGTGTATACATATACATATTCTCTTACACATACATATATATATGATATGCTCTTTGGTTGTCTCAATTTAAATATTAGCAGTTAATATTAAGGAAATAACCCAGACAGCCTGGGTTTAAATCCCAGTTCCACTATTTACTAATGTTTTGACCTTGGGTAAGTTAAACTCATTGTGCCTTAGTTTTCTTCATCCATAAAACAGTGATAGGCATGACCTACCACCTAGATTACTGAGAGAAACAAATGAGTTAATACATGCAAAATGCTTCAAATCAGATTTGGTACATGGTGATCACCCAATAAGTGTCAGAAATAGTTATCATTGACATAGTTATTATTGTAGATATGTAGGTTTTCTCAAATGAAATTTCTGTCAACACTATTTACATTAAGGAAATGTTGTAAACAGCATGATTTGATCTTTTTTATATAATACACTTGTAAATCAAAAATAGATGTGCATGTGCATTTTACATATATATTTATATAAACATGTTTACATATGTTTATGTTTGTATAAATATATAAACATCAAAATACATATATATGTATGTATACTCATACAAACAAATCTAAGAGAAAATACACTAAAGAGTAATTATGTTTTTGGTATAGGAATGATTCTCATTTTCTCTTTTTGTCTATCTGCATTTTCCTGTTCTTTTAACATTATTACATTGTAATTGTAAAAAAACACAAACAATTATGTCCAAAAAGAACATTTATTCCAGCATTTTGTACAGTACTGAAATATAAGAAATCATCTAAATAGTCAACAATAAGGGGTTGTCATAAAAAGTTGCTATATCTGTAAGACGGAACTAAAATAGCCATTAAAAATTAATATTGCTATAGAGAATATTGTTAATTTTTTTAAATCTGTTACTATCTATAATATACAATTAGACCCTAATTTGGTTTACTCTTTTCTTTTAAAGGAAATACACTAAATAGTAACAGATGTTTTCTTTATGCAGTTAACATGCTACTTTTTTTCTTTGTCTCATGTAAATAGATTTTTATAATCTTGCTTTTTTTAATAAAGTAAATGTAAAACGAAGTCATGATAGTTAAGTCTTGTCTTGATTGATAAACAGCTTTTAGCTGTTTTATCAAGTAATTCCCTTTTCCAGTCCTTCTGTGGTTTTGTATCTATAAAATAAGTTTGGTTAATCAGTTTTATAAATTGCTTTGCCATATCTCTAATGCCTCTGAAATCTTATCACCAAAATACTTAGTTTTATCTTTTTGATACCACTGTTTTGAATTAAAGAATGTAAATGATTTTGATTCATTTTCCTGTTGTTTCCTATTCATTTATTTGCGGTTTATTTCTGCAGTTCATGTTCTTTGGTGGAATGAGAGTGCAGACAGGCGAGCAGCTGGGAGACATCAGTCTCATGAGGATCCCAGAGTTGTAGCAGCTGGTAAGCTATTTCACTAGGCATAGATTATTGTTAAAACAAATTTTATTAAATCAATAACCTGACATGCTTTTTATGAACTGTTTTTCTAGTTCGAGAAAGTGTTAACTTCCTAGGATTTCAGCAGAATATGCTTCTGATTCCTACATCATTTTCACCATTGAAATAGTTTTCTACTGAAGTAAAAAACATTTAACTAACTGCAATCAGATTTGTCTACTAATGGTGTTTAATTCTCCTAAGAGATTCTAACTTTTATTTTAAGGAGGTAGTAAGTTCATGTACTATGTCCTTGCATTTTGAAAGCTACATGCATCCTTTGTCACCACTTCAGGAAATAGTTCTATTCATTTTCCCCATGGCATTTCCACATCTATCATACATTCAAAATACTTGTCCCTACTTGACTGTTCATTTGTTTCAGAATATTTCTTCTCTATTCTGACAACACTTTATAGCATTTTCTTATATCCAAATAATGTTAAATTTTCATATTTGTGATGGTATTTTTAAATTATTAATATGTATTATCAACCCTTTCAATGTGTCTTTTCCTAGAATTTTTTTTTAGTTTTTTGACGTTTATTTTATAATGCCAAATGGGATTCATGAAAATATTAAAAATATTTTTTAGCTATGGAAAAGTATATTATCATTTGTGTCATCTATATTAACTTCAGTTTTCATATTAGTTTATTAGTCACTTACTTAGGAAATAATAGTACTAGGTCCTGGCATTAAAATTTTCAAAGACCCATTGGTTTATGTGCTGAAATGTCTTTATATATAATTAATTTCACTAATACAGTAGAACCTCTGGAAATTGACCACCTAAGGAAATGTAACAAACTGATCAACATAGGAAGGTGGTCAACATAAAGAACTAGGCCTCTGTACTAATAGGTACATTTGGTGCATTTCCAGGCTATGAAAATTAGGTCAACTAAAAGAGGTGGTCAGCATAGGGAGGTGGTCTGCTATGGAGGTTCCACTGTAATTTTTTTTAAAAAAAGCTTCTCGTATTTCTTATATCACTGACATGCTTCCCCCATATACAAGTCCATAAACCTTCCTCTCTCCTAAAGGACAGAAGACAAACACATATGGGACAAATACATACTGCTCATTGTATATTCAGAGCTGAAGTTCCAAGCTGAGGTATTTACCAAAGGGTGAAACAATCAGACTGAACTCCCAGTGATGCAGACAAACACAGGCGGCAGGAAAATCTATAACCAGGCAATGGAGGGAGAAGAAGATAGTAGAAATACAGCAGGTGTTAGAAAGCAAAGGGGCACATACCTATTACTTCAGCCAACCTCCCAGACCAAGCAGCACAGGAATAAGGGGTACAGAGCCACTAGCTGAGCTCTAACCAATGCATTCTTGGCAGCTGGGAATCAATAGAGCCTGAGAACTCAACCTCTTCCACAGCAGCACAGGGCCAGAGGCACTAAGCTGAGCAGTTCATAGAGTAAATAGTGATCACATGTCAGGGTGACACAGAGAGTTGGTTCCTGCCTCCTTCTCCCTGAAAACTTATAAAGACTACACTGGCCCGTGACCTAGCTTGGCTGAGAGGAAGGCAGAGAATTGGCTAGAAAATCCAAATCTCGGTCTGACTTTATGAAAGTGTACACATGTGAAGTCCCTTACCCTTCATTATTTCTCATTTGTAATATGGAGACTGAGAACAGATAACCTATTCAGATCCCCATGTTCTGATTAAAACCACTCTGCAGTAAGGCCTCCAATCTGAAGCTATTATTTCCCATGATCACCTCAAAAGCATAATTATCTAAATCTTCCCTGAACTTCCTCAGACTTTCCACCTATACTTCTCTGAAATAATGACTTGTGCATACGTTTTAAGTAAACACAGAACTCCTTTTTCCCATTTGTTACTGAGAAATTATATTTTTAAAACTTTAAGATCCAAATGATGTCCCTGGTTCTAATATTCTGGGAATTTAATGCAGAAAATTATCGCTGAATGAGTAATTCTAAGGGGCAATATTATAATGAAAATTATCTCATTTAATTATTATCAGCACTGTATGCAGTACTATTATTTTCACCAATCAACAAAGGTAAATGATGATCAGAGATGTTAAGAAGCTTGTCCAACATCACATAGGTAATAGCAGAACCAGAATTCAAATCCAGGTCTATATGCTGCAAACTCAAACTCTTTGCATATCTCATAGTATAGGAAAAACCCTCTGTAGACCCTTTCTCTATAGGTCTTAATTTTATGGAGTGAAATAATGTTATCTCTCCTAACCAAGCAAGTTAGCTTGTAAACACTGACTTGCGGACAATAGTGTAATGAGTATTTCTCTCTCAGTCAATTATATTCTGATCTCCCTGGCTACCTTTTCTATCAGTTTACAGAAAAATCAGTTTTCCAGTAAGTTCCTGTTAAGTGCATCTGGTATAACATCTCTCATGTTATGAAAGTCATACTGATGCCAGTCCCCATTCTAAGCACTTACTATAATAACCCTATGACATAGATACTATTGCTGTTCTCATTTTTAAGTTAAGTTGCTCAGAGAAGCAACATGCCAGCACAGATACATGAGTAGCAAGAAGCAGAACTGGGATTAAAATACAGATAATCTGATGCCAACATCAATATTATGACCACAGTGTTATCTTCGCTGGTCAGAAAGCCTGCAGCCCACCCATGAGGGCAGAGTTCCGGCCCTGGAAAATTCTTCCCAACTCCTCTGGCAATCAGCAGCCTCTTCCATAAAAGAGCCACAAACTGTTGCTTTGTGAGTTCAGCCTTTCACATGATAGGAGCTATTCATCCTGCTGGGCAGGTCTGTCTCTCTGGATTCTGTGAGAAGCCAACACTGAGGGTCACCTGTTACCTTACACATTTTTGACAGTGCCATGTTCCTCCCCCTAGCATTTTCATCAAGTCTTCTAATAAGAAAAAAATGACCAATACAACAAAAATTGGGCAAAGGTAGTAAACCAGGACTTTTAAAAAATAAAATGTAATAAAAAATAAAAAAGAAAATGATATGGCTTATGAAATTATGAAAAAATGTTCAATTCACAAAAAAACAGAAATGTAATTAAAATCAAGATACTTCTCACCCATAAGATAAGCAAGTAGTAAAGTCTTACAGTATTAAAATTAGCAAGAATGTGGAGAAAGGAGAAATTCCATTCACTGCTGGTATGTCTATAAATGAATACTTGAAAAATAAGATCTAATGAACTTGTTCAGTACTTCCACTTGCAGGTATGTGCAAGCAGATATGTACAAAGTTATTTTCTGAAGCATTATTTATAAAATAAACATGGAAAAAGTTAAATATCAATGGAGAAGGAATGAATAATTGGAACGATAAACTTTGATTACTAGAGAATAATTAAAATGATTGAACCATCTCTAAACTATTTTGTTAATTTGGCAAGTACTTAGCCTTTTTGAATGTCTTGTTTCCTGTTTTTTGTTTTATTTTATAAAATAGAAATATCAGCTTCACAAAGTGAAATGAGAGTAAGAAAAGATAAAATAAAAAACATAATATACATACAGCAGGTACATGATATAATAATTTTTTGTCTATGAAATTGGTATCACTAGTACTGTCTTAGAGAAAGAGATAATGGCCATGTGAGTTGAGAATAATAGATGTTTATTAAACTGATAATGATAGGGGCAGCTAAATAGAAATGAAGAAAGAATCAAATAAGGGTCTCAGTAAAGCTCTCATTTAAGAAGTATTCTTAAAAAAAAAAAAGACACTAGTAACTTGTATTGCCCAATATGTACCTTACTCCAGGAAACACAGCAACTCAGAAACAACTGATTTTCAATGAAAAAAATTATAAAATAGGAATTGTATTGAGGCAGCCTCTGAAGTTATGATTTTCATCAACTTGTTTTCAGTTTTTAATTTTGTTTTAAGTGGAAGGAGCTGCAGATGATTTCAGAGGAGTAGAAAAACTAAGTGCTATATTTATTAATACTTGGTATCTTTTATATGAGAGGAAAATAATTTTGGAAATGAAACCTACTTCTAGTAGCACTATTAAGCTATCTTGAAAAGTTAACTTAGAATGTTTTTCAAAAATAATTTTATTCCATGTAGTTCTGAGTTTCCGTAAATTATATGTCTATCAGCCTTCATAAAAGATGGGCTTGGCACCTGTATCCCAGTGGTTAGAGCACCAGCCACATACACCAAAGATAGTGGGTTTGACCTCAGCCAAGGCCAGCTAAAACAACGATGAGAACCGCAACAAAAAATAGCTGGGCATTGTGGCAGGTGCCTGTAGTCCCAGCTACTTGGGAGGCTGAGGCAAGAGAATCACTTGAGCCCAAGAGTTGGAGGTTGCTGTGAGCTGTGACACCACAGCACTCTACCAAAGGTGACAGAGTGAGACTCTTGTCTCAAAGAAAAAAAGAGGAACATTTGAAAAGTACATTTGGGAAAATCCTAGGAAGTATCCTAAAGGACCTAATTAAGAGGCAAAAGAGAAAATAGGCCCCTCTTATTTGGACACAACCTACATGTCCCTTGCATTAATGTTTCAATCCCTCAAAATAATATTTAAAATAAATTATAAATGTTCTATAAAAGCAATCAGTAAGGGCCAAGTAAAGCTAAAATAGGTTAAAAAATAAATTCCTCAGTTAGCAGGTATCTGGGACTAATTATGGGGGTGAAGAGAAATAAATCCATTGGAGAGCACTGTATAATGAAATGGGTGTTGGAAGAGAAACACATAGAAAAAAAGTCACAAAGTGCATAAATGCATTAAGCTAGAAGGAGTCTCAACTTACACCTAGGAGAAAGCCATATTTAATAATGAAAATCTAAAATAGCAAAGAGTTCAGAACTTTCCCCATAACATTTCTCTCCAACTCCAGGGATTGTTCAAAGGTAGTCAAGGCTCATTTTAGGAAATAATTGCGTTAAATTAATGACATGTTCTTAAATGTCATTGGTACTAAAATTCACATTTTAATTCCAAACCTAAAGTAAGCCAATTCTTTTATTATATCTAAGAAGGATGTAATGTATATATATTAAACTATTCTGTTTATGTTTTAATGATTATTTTATGTGTATTAATAAAAGTATTGTTACATGTATTAATAAAATAACATTAGATAAAATTGTACTATATTTAAATATTTAACTGTTCATAAATCTTTCCTGCCACGTATTCTAACAAGGATAGCAGCAAAGAAGCAGATACAGAAATCCCAGACAAGTTCAAGACAAGGCATGCAGTGGTTGTGTTTCCCTCCCTAAAGCATTTTATTCAATGTTCAATGTACAACAGGCACTTAACATATGTTAGGTTATGTGAGTTCTCTTTTTAACAAAATTGAATGAAAGTTGATTTTTTATTACCAATTACATATATTAATATAATAATTATGATAATAGAGCAACCCACAAAAATTATATTAACTCACCTTAAATGGATTTTTTCTCCAATACATAATCCATTATCACAAAGAAAAAACCAAAACTGTGAATGAAGTTACCTTCACTCTAAATTCCTATTGCTTAAATTATGAGAACTCAAAAAATAACAAAAAGATACATATGCAGACACCTAATGAAGGAAAAGTTAGTCTATACCACCATCTAGTGGCCACAGAATATAGCACTAAAAAGAGTACGCACTTAAAAAAAAAAAAAAGGACTTAGCCAGGAATGTAGTACCAGAATATGAACAACCAGAGTTTACAGTACAGCAGCCACCCTCCTCAGTTGGGCCAGCATAGGACCCACCACTCTACCTTCTGCACATTTGTTGAAGCCTGAGATTTGGACAAAACCAAGCAGGCACACCATCAAGTAGATTGTTCCCTTTGCCCAGGTGTATGTAATTCTGCTGCCCTTCAGCTAAATCCTATTTGTTATGGAAAGTAAAAAGTCATTTTAATATTCATTAGATAAGATGAACAATACTGAAAAATTAGGCAATAAAACCTCATGTACTCTATTATGAGTATAAATTTGTACAACAGTTTGGCACTATTTAATAAACATGAATATGTATATAGCATGTGACATAGCATTTCCATTCTTGGGTATATATTCCAAAACCAAAAGTTTGGGGAGTCTATGGTTAGAATTCAGAGGGTCTGGAAAGTTTGATTGGTAAAAGTTATATTGTTATTAGCACCAATGTCTAACTGAAATTAAGAATTTCCTTTGTTTATGAAAGAAAGCAACAAACCACAACATTCACAATATTATTAACAGGACCTGTGACTTCTTAGGAACTCAAACTTATCAATAACAAAAAATAACCCCATTAAAAAATAGGCAAAAGACATTAGCAAACATTTTTCAAAAGAAGACATATAAATGAAAAAATCCTCAACATTACTAATTATCAGGGAAATGTAAACTAAAACCACAGTACAATACCACTTTATATCAGTCAGAATAATTATTATTAAAAATAAAAAAAAAAACTCTGATATTGGTGAAGATGCAGAGAAAAGTGAATGCTTATACACTGTTGATGGGAATATATATACAACCTCTATGGAAAACCATATGGAATTTTCTCAAATAACTAAAAATAGAATTGCCATTCATCTAATATTCCCAATACTGGGTACCACCCAAAGAAAAAGAAATAATTATATCAAAAATATGCCTACACGCTTATGTTTATCATAGTGATACCGGACTTTTGATACTGGATTTCCAGGCTCTTGGTCTCAACAATTCAGTGAATGAATCGACAGACCACAGTATCAACAGTAGTTAGGTTTTATTCAACAAATGTTACAGCTCTCACAAAGAGCTAAACCTTACAGAGCAGGATCAGCAGTAATATAGGTTTTATACAAGTGTCACAGCTCTTACAAAGAGCCAAACTTCCTTGCAGAGCAGGATACAAGTGTTACAGCTCTTGCTCTTCTGCGCTCTCTCCCTCAGAGGACTGATGATCTGTGCTTGGGCTCTCTGCTTAGGGGCTTACATAGGGGCAGTTGTCCAGTGAGCTTTCAGGTCCTGAAAACAGACCAATCAGGAGCAGGTTGGAAAATGGCCCAATCAGGGATGCACTGGAGGAATCGCCAGTGTTTTCCCCTGCTAGTATCCGGTTCCTTTGGCCACTAGAGCCTCTATTGGAGAAGGGAAGCTCCCCTTGCTTGCCTACCCTCCAGCCTGCTCCAGCCTGCTCCAGCCTGCTCCAGCCTACTGGTTCCTCTGCCGGCTGCTGCCACCAACACCGCCAAGATGGAGGCAGTAGGTCCTCCAGCCCTGCTCGGCTGAGCTGGCTGGGGCACCACCTGTCCAGTATCAACAGCACTATTCACAGTAGCAAAATTATGGAATCAGCTTAGCTATCCATATTAAAGAAAATGTGACGTGTGTATACACGTGTGCACACACACATGGAATACTACTTAGCCATAAAAAAGAATGAAATCATGTCTTTTGTAGTATCCTGGTTGAAAGTGGAGGCCATGATCATAAGTGAAATAACTCAGAAACAGAAAGTTAAATGCAGCATGTTCTTACTTATAAATGGGAACTAAATAATTTGTACACATGATCATCAAGAATGGAATAACAGACATTGAAGATTCAGAAGGGTGGGACAGCCAGAGGGGGATGAGGGATGAAAAATTACTTAATGGGCTATAATTAGTACACTATTGGGGTTATGGTTATGCCATCTATACATGTCATGAAGCTGAATTTGTACAACCTAAATCTACTAAAAGATGCAAAACCATAGTGAATCAAAGCACCAGTCAAATGAATTATGCCTGTACACACTTTTGTACCTAAAAAAATATTCTTGTTACTGATACCAGACTTTCAAGTTCTTGGTCTCGGTGATTTGAAGAATAAATCTACAGACCACAGATCAGTGGCAAGACAGAATTTATTTACAGAAAAAGAATACAAAACACTAAAGTTTCTAGTAGGAAGAGAAAACCCAAGTCGGAATAGAAAAGCTCTCTCCGTTTTTCTCTCTTCCCATCTTTCTCTGTCTAGCAGTACATGTAGGAACATGGGTTCCTTCTATATGAGGCCAGGAAATGAATAGAAACAGTCTCTTCCACTAGGGCAAGGTGAATGAATATACTAATGAATGGACACTGTCCATTCTTGGAACTGAGGCCTAGAAAACTTACATGAAATTGACCTAGGCATAGGAAATGGCAGTTCCCTATTTAGTTGTAAGTGTAAAGGGGAAGGAGACACTAAGGTGCGGGTGTCTCCCCAGCAGTTGTCCAGTCCCTTTGGCTACTGGAGCCTCTGTTGGGGAGGGAGGCTCCCCCCCACCCCTTGTCTAAGCTCCAGCCGGCTGCTTCCTCTGCCAGCTGCCACCGCACCAACACAGCTAAGGGGAAGGCGGGGGTCCTCCAGCCCAGCTGGGCTGAGCAGGCTGGGGCGCCACCTGTCCTGTATCATTACCTTCTTAGGTATGCAGTCTGTCTATCTAATCTAAAATAACTACCCAGCTACTCTGTATCACATAATAGCCTATTTTAATAATCCAATTTGGGGTATGATTTATCTACCTTACGACTACCTGTCCTTTGAACTTATCATAAGCTCAGTATATGCAGCAAGAGTTTTCAAAATACTTACCCTATGTATCTTCAAGGCAGTTTGGTAGTTTGTGCAAAAAAAGGAAAAGAAAAAACATCACAGAAAAACATTCTTTTCAATGCTGTTTAAAAGCTCTCTTCTACCACAAATCTAAAACTACCTTAAAGATCATGTATCTTTTTTAAATAAATTGTTGACCAAGTGTGATAGGTCACATCTGTAAGGCAGGAGGACTGCTTGAGCCCAGGAGTTGGAGACCAGCCTGAGCAATAGCAAGACTCAGGATCTACAAAAAATACAAAAATTAGCTAAGCATAGTTTGGCACACACCTGTAGTCCCAGCTATTCAGGAAGCTGAGACAGAAGCCATCATTTGAGCCCAGGAGTTTGAGGTTGTAGTTAGCTATCATGATGCCACTGCACTCCATCCTGGGGAACAGATTGAGACCCTTTCTCAATCGCTCAATAAAACTGATATAATATGGCAAGACTATGTCTAAAGAAAAAACAAAATAAGAGAAATAGTACATCTTACCAGCTGGCTTCAAACCCTGACTGTGCCACTTAGCAGTAGAGAACCTATGAAAGTATTTACCTATCAGAACTTCACTTTTCTCATTAACAAAACAGAAACAAAACTTAACTCATGGAGTTTCCGGGATATAGGAGATTTGCTTAGGCACCCAGCGGCACACTTTCCCTCTCAAGCTGTAGCCATGAATTTTATTTCTCACTATTTGTAAGCATCTTCCTCTTGGATGTTTCTGCTGGCTGGATTCAGTTAATGAAAAAGCTTTAAAGATGATCAAGTCAGGGGGTAGAAAAAGTTTGAATCCTTAATTCACCACGTACTAAAGAGCTGCCTGTCACTAGGAAAATCCACTTTAGATTCTTAAGGAACAAGAAACAAAATCTGTGCTTAATACAATACTTGTACATGTCTACAGTCATCCATAGGTTCCTCTGACGTCTGAGCAAGAACGTTTGGGGAAACGGAGACCAAGGGTCACCCCGGCACAGACAGACACCCCCCTGACCGGCCCGCCCCTTTGCGCCCGAGTCAGAGGCGGAGCCCTCCTCGCTGAGCCCGCCCCGCCTGCGGCAGCCAGTTGTCCCCTCGCCGCTCGTTCCGTCGGGAAGTCACCAGAAGAGAAGCCTCCGAAAGGACTGGGCTGACTGCCTTGCTCAGCATCCGAAGCCACGCCATGCTCGCCCTCAGAAGCGGCCTGACTAGGGCGCTGGCGGTGAAGACGCCGGTGCCTCAGGTACTGGCCGCGGGGTCGCGCCTGACCCCCTAGCAGTGGGAGAGGGCGGGGCACCTGGGCGAACGTGGGAGTCGCGCGCATGCGCTCACCCACCCCGCCCCGCGCTTGCGCCTTCACGCGCAGAGACCCGGAATACCGCGCTCCCCGCAGGTGCAGTGCGAGCTTTACCCGTCTGCGCCAGGGGCCAGGGGACGCGCGAGAGGAAGACTGGCCAGCCTGGTTCGCCTCCCGACCCAGTGACGGGCTGCCTCGGACAGGGGACTTTTCTGGTCTGGAAGCCAGGCGGCCCCCAGGACACCCCTGAGGGTGACAATCGCAGCTTCGGGGAGCGCTGGCCCAGTTGTCGCCTGGCATTGTCGGGCCTCTTGTTTAGGGTGACCAGACGTCCCGCTTTTGGCGAGAAAGTCCCGTTTTTCAATAATTTGTCCTGCGTCCCGCGGCGTTTTAAAAAAGTCCCGATTTTTGGAAAGAATGTACGAACGGGCGGGAGAACAAGAAGGGAATATACGGTTTTCGGCTGCCATGTGGCTATTTTGCCAGAATATGAGTTTTATATTATTTTTGTTAACTTTATAATATTAAACTATAATAATAACAAATGATTGCTGAGACGGGATTATCGAGAACTGCTTATTAAAGTTTGCATTGTTGTCAGGCCCTGCCCTGTCCTGCCCAGCCCCCTTGCCTGGGGGGGGGACCGCCATGTTGTCCTGCCTTACCGAGGTTAAAATTTGGTCACCCTACTCTTGTTGATTTGTGGCTGTTGATTACAGGCCACCATACCCTCCATATTTTTGGTTCACATGGGGAAAAGTCCACCAACCATTTACGGCAGAACCGGCCTCCTCCTATGAAATACATAGCTTCCCCCGGCATATTCTGGAGAACCCAGGAATCGGCCCAGGGACCTGGAGGGTTGGACCCTCTTCAACCACTGGCGTTTGATGCGGTCAGCCCCCCTCTACCCCCGAGACAGGCAGGATCTGGAACCCCATAGCCAACGTGATAAATCTCAATGTTAGATGTGAAAAGTACCAAACAGCTTGTGACTCAGCCTTAGCTGTCACATATTGGCCTATTCTGTGATTCTAACCCAGAAATGTTTTCCTTGCACTGTTGAGGCGTTTACTCTTTTCTCAAAGGGCAGAATAGGAAGGAGGTTAACCAATTCCAGAGGCAGACCTGGTGTACACTAAAGAGAGAGTTGTGTCCATTCACCCTAGATTAACAGTTCAGTCTTTGACTTGAGAGTCTCACTGAGGGCACAGCCAAAAATTAATTCCCTACAGCGTTATTCTGATGAGTGTTTTTTAAATGTCTAAGATTGTGGATGTCGTTGCTGGTGAGAATGAGCCCCAACTTGGAGTCAAGGGACCATGAAGCACTCATGATTTGTACACCAGTAATTGTTCTGCAATGAAAATCACTACCCCCACCCAGCCACCCACATGGCTCTCACCACAGTTAACCTTTCCTGAGCTTCTCAATTGTATATTTCTCCTGAGAAAGACAATAAAAAAATGTATGCATTTGAACACTTGTTTGTGCTCTGTGAAAGTTCCACAGACCAGGATGAAATCACTTTGCCACACTCCGACAAATTAGGGTTAGGAAGGTGGGAAGGATAGGAGGCTTCATGCTTCGGTGTCTGACATAAGAACTGTTTGCTAGGACTTTCTAAGTTGGGTTTTTTTAAATGGCATTCTGTTAGATTTTGGTCAACTTGACCTTACACACTTGGGCAAGAAGAATATAAATCAGAATGTACATAAATAGAATGAACTCAGACAATTATAATTAAGACATCACAAGAGATAAATGTGTGTGAATTTTATATGGATAATCAAAAATATGTCAGTGAAAAGAGTCTACCAAAACTGTTCTAATAGATAATTCTGGTTACTCAAGTTGGAGAAGTTGTCACATGCTAAACAAACCTAAAGATGGATTTGTAACTGGAATGGCACAAGAGCATGTCTGTGTATATACACATGCGTGTTTATATATATACACATATGTATATATTCATGTGCATAGACATACAAACCGAGCATAATTTCCAGCGGAGTATTTTGCTACTGATTTCCTTAAGTTCACTCATGCTCAGAGGACCAAATTAGGACAGAAATTTACATAGTGAACATATAACTATTACAAAGGGAAGTAATAGTTCTTAAAGGATATTTTGACCAACTTGCTGTCATTGGGTACAATAAATATTCTTCACATTGCATCTGTAATCAGAAATAGTGATTCAGACAATTCTGACTTGTTCTCTTCTCCATTTTCAAAATTCATAACAGTCTACCCCCATATTACAGTGCAATTGGATATGTCATAGCTTACTTTTGTATTAGTTATATCCAGTCCTGTTTTTGACTAGTGGTCTTCACTGGATTTGGGAAATACTTTGACTTGAATAGCCACTTCCATTTTTTTAGAAACTTAAAAAAGACTTTTTTGCTAGTAAACATAATCTTCATGAGGCCTGCCAAAAGATGTGCATAATTTATAAAGTTCTTAATACATGCAGTATTGACTAAGATGGAATATTGGCTAAATAAGGGAAACCTCATTGTAAATTTATGAGAATTCTAATAGTAGTTCTTGGGAAAACGAGTTTCATGAAGATCCCAGTGCTGACTTATGATCACCTTCTCCTTAAAAAATGGATAGAGCCAGGCATTCAGCATACTTAAAAACAGTTATCTTTTTGGACATCTCTATATAAACAAACGTTGGTAGAGAGTTGGCAATACAAGTACCAACGTGGATTATGAGTCTACTGAATGTCCCTTGCACCAGGCTCAGGTTTGGTTGTTATACAATATAATGAATCCTACCTTACCAAAGTACTTAAATTTGCCTTTTCTTCTTCAGATGTGCTCATCTTTTGCTACAGGCCCCAGACAATTTGATGGAACATTTTATGAATTTCGTACTTACTGCCTTAAGCCTTCAAAAATGAATGAGTTCATGGAAAGTATTAAGAAAAACATTCATCTTCGGACAGCTCACTCTGAATTGGTTGGATTCTGGAGTGTTGAATTTGGTGGCAGAGTGAACAAAGTGTTTCATATTTGGAAGTATGGTATGAGTCATCCAGTTTAAATGTTCAGTACGGATTTTCATTCTGTTAGATGTTATATGAGACTTAGTTCTTGGATCTGTGTTGCTAGGTTAAGGAATATTTTTAAAAAACAATACCAAAAAGTTAATTCAGTGATCATTCTTTCTAGTGGTATGCCTCTAACAATCCCTTGCTTAAAGTCCTATGTATTGTGAATGGGAAAATGTTAAGTCACATACATCAAATCATAAAATTGTAAACTAGACTTTAATTCTCCGAAAAATTTTAGAATATTTTGTTGTAAAGATGGTTTATGAAAAATTTAAAACAGTAATTACAGAAGTCCAAGAGGCTTGGGATCACAAATGGAAAGGAAAAATAATCTTTTCTTAACATTAAAGCTATGACTGGATATCAGTATTTTAGCAGAAATAATTCAAACATTTAGTGGCTTTATGAAAATGGAGATTTATAGGAGATTATGTATATTTTTTAAGACTTACCTAACTCTGAGGTTTAATAATTATGTTATGTTTAGAGACCACTTTCCTTTCATTTCTATACCCCCAGGGTTTTGAGTCATTCACTGTCATAGTACTCTCCCTAGGCAAAGAAAAAGAAATCAGAGAGAATTTTTCCCATATTAAAGCTTATCCAACCCTGGTTTACAAGAATTACCAGTATCTGTTCTTAACCATCCACATCAGGACTTGATGATATCTTAAGAACTTTTAATAATTTCATTTAGTGTTTAATAATGTGCTCAAAGTTAATGGTCATAAGTAACAATATGAAAAGTGTTCCTTCTGTACTTAACATGGACTTTCTTTAGTTTTTCCCTGTTATAATAAAGTAAGCCCCATTAAAACATAATTGATGTTTTAGATATAGCACAAGTTGAATCATGTACTATTTAAAAAACTACTAATAAGTTCTTGTAACTCACTTAAAGATTTAGATAGGTATTATTCCTTATCCCCAACATAAATCATATAAAATCTTTTTTCCATTAGTGATATGAGGCCCTAATAATAAATATAGTATAACTGTCTCTCTGTATTTATAGGGGATTGGTTACCCCATCCCACTCCTACCCACTCACCCCGCTACCCCTCTACCCTGTGAGTACCAAAATCAACACAAGTGCCTTCCATAAAATGGTGTAGTATTTGTGTAGAACCTACACACATCTCATATGCTTTACATCACTTCTAGATTATGTATAATACCTACTGCAATGTATATGCTATGGAAATCATTGTTACATTGTATTTTTTGTATTATTTTTATTGTATATATTTTTTAATATTTTTGATCTGCAATCAGATGAATCCACAGATACAAAGGGCTGACCATACAGGGTACTTACATTGGTAAATACAATGCTTGTTTGGGTAACTTAGAAACAAGTTGTAGGGAAAAAGAATGACTAACAAATAAAAGAATAACCACTATTCCTTTAGGAGCTGTTTGTTCAAAGAAGAACAGGCTTTAAAAATGCATCTTAATTTCATGTGTGTTAAATTTGATTCAAAGTATACTTTGACCTGATCATCCAACACTGCCACCACCACCAAGGAAAAGAGTCTTTCTCTAAACTAGCATTATATATCAAATGCTTCAATTAATTAATAAGAATAGTTTACAAATACTGAGTACTAACTAAGATGCATCCTCACAACAACCCTGGAGGGAGGTGTTAGCTTATTATCTCCATTTCACAGACTAAGAAAATGAGATACAGAAAGATACAAAACTAACCTAATTCACACAACTGCCTCCTAATGTGGTAGAGCCT